CTGAACGAAAAAACATTACAAAAACTTTGAACTTGATCACAGCCACTTATTCCAAACACCCAGCTGGCTCGAAAAGGGATGCCATTCTCGCAGGCCGTGCCGCTCTGCAACTTACATCCTAGCCATTCACAATGGTGCCGCCATTGGGGTGAATCACCTGACCCGTAATATAGGAAGAGTCGCGGCTCGCGAGAAACACATAACTAGGCGCTATCTCGTTCGGCTGCCCCGCCCTCTTCATCGGCACCTGCTTCCCAAAATTGGCCACATGCTCCTCCTCAAACGAAGCAGGTATAAGCGGCGTCCACACCGGCCCCGGCGCCACTCCGTTCACCCTTATCCCTTTCTCCACCAACTGCAATGCCAGCCCCCTCGTGAACCCCACAATAGCCCCCTTCGTCGACGTGTAATCCAACAGGTTCTTATTTCCTTTATACGCATTCACCGACGTCGTATTAATAATCGATCCTCCCTCCTTCATATACTTAACGGCAAATTTCGTTATGTAGAAGTAGGAGAAGATGTTAGTTCTGAAAACGCGCTCCAGCTGCTCCGCTGTTATATCCGTGATGGAATGAGACACGTGTTGCTCCGCCGCGTTGTTGACAAGGATGTCAATGGTTCCACCGAAGTGACTGGCGGCCGCTTCGACGACCTTGCGGCAGTTGTCTTCGAAGCCGGCGTCGGCAGGGAACGAGAGCGGGGGTTTGGCATTTGGTGTTTTGAGCTCGTTGAGGAGGTGGAGGGTGTCTCTAGCGTCTTGGTCTTCTTCGGACTTGAGGTAGGTGAAGGCCACAGAGGCGCCCTCGAGGGCGAAGTGGATGCAGACGGAGCGGCCGATGCCGGAGTCGCCACCGGTGATGAGGGCAGTCTTGCCACGGAGTTTTTCAGCCGGTTTGTATTCGCGGGGGAGGAAGTCGGGAGTTGGGTCCATGATGTGTTCCTTGCCGGGTTGGATGTCTTGGTGTTGAGGTGGGAAGGATTGGCCATGGGTGGAAGACATTGCGGCGAGGAGGAAAGGCGGGGTTTTTAGATGATGCAAGGTTTGGAAAGGGCGAAATGCAAGATTTGGGGAGCTGTTTAGGGTACGGGTGAAGGTGTAGGCGGGACGGGATAAGAGAGAAAGAGAGGAAAGCATGATGGATGGAATCGGGAGGTGAAGGTATATAAAGGAGATGGCTTCAGAGGGGGAAGAGGCTTGTGGTGAACATGTGAGGTGACACGTGGGAAGAATTTGGATTTAGGTGGCGTGGTGATTAGCCGTCGAGGAACCCACGCGTCGCGTCGCATGTAGTATTCTTTGTGTGCGTGTCTGGTAGAAGGGGAGGTTGCGGGGACAGTTTCATTAGGAATGGGTT